TGGTAAAAGTTACGAAAAAGTAATGAATGGAGAATCTATGGTGTGCACCTTAAAGTGAAAGTTACAAACCTTAGTGATTATCTTATGAATGATATGATGTAAATGTTATGAACCATTTGTGGTGAAAAAAGTTATGAGTTGTGGTTTATATTAATAAATTAAAGAAGTTTATGCAAGTCCTTGTTGCTTCACTAGTTCTGATATAAAGCGAATCTCATCAATTACCCAAAAGAGAAGGTGTTAGGTATCCTGGAAGCCAATATTTTTGTTCAGAGCTGTTTAAATGTCGTAATACAAAAAATATATATATAATAAAATAAAATAGAAACACAAAAACTTTGTTAACATAATTTGATTTAAAACAAGACATTATCATGTTGTTTGAGTTTGTAAGGTTAAACTTGGTATCTTTGCTATGTTACTATGAAATCTGCAAATTTGTTCTATTTGGTTGCAGAAGTAATGGTGGTTAGAAGTTAATTTTACTGTCTTAGTAGCATTATTGTCAAGATCTATTCACTCTGATCTTAAAAACTGCATGTTGACATCATAGAAACTTAAGCATACATGAGATTTGAATACACAGAAGCATCGAGAATCCATATAACTTCATGTGCCTAATTTATAGTCATGGAAGACCAATTCTTCCTTTCTTCAATTTTCTCATCAGTCAAACAGTATTCAATAAAAGAAATACAAGGTATAAGTTTACACCTTCTGATTTGTGCTTATTGAATTAGACCATTGAAATCTGTACCCATTCAAAAAGAAATTTCATCGTTAGTCATTGGAATTGTCCCATGTCATCATTTAAAGAGCCCAAGAGGGTTATTGATTATAGACCAATAAGTTTCTGCTTCTCATTCCCAGATAACATAATGGAGCAATGTTAAAAGAACTTGTGTTGGGAACTTCTATTTTCTAACTTGAGTTTAAGAAAAGCTTGTGTGATCTCTCTAATGTTTTTATTCTAATAATTACATGAAATTTCTTCAACTAAACTGTATAAAGGTTCTTCACCAAGAAGAATGCCAATTCTTTCTTCCATTTTCTCAGCAATAACAGATCATCCAATATGTGATTGCCATTGGCTGATACAATTCATTAAAAGAAATGAGATATAAGTTTATTTTTGGAGCCTATTAAGAATGGCCATTGAAATCTGGACTCATTCAAAAAATTTCTCATCATTTATTCACTGGAAATGTCCTATGTTGTCATTTAAAGAACCTAAGAAGGTTATTGATTAAGGCCTCATTTAGGAAGTTATATTTTTAGTGTCTTTTTAGTTAAAATATGAGGTGAAAAAAATCAAAATATGTTTAGGAAGGACTTTTTGACTTTTTACAGAAAAATGTGCAATAAATAGAGTGAATAAAAATGAATATTTGACTATTTTGTGTGATTTTTTTTTTTTAATTATTATTATTTTTTTTAAACACTTATTGACCTTTGTAATGGCTTTTTGGAGGCCATTTCAACCTTCTTTAGTTGTTTTATATTTCCACTGTCTTTGTAAAATGGTCTTAATTAGAATTAGTTTTTTAATTTTCTTTTTATGTTTTCTATGGAAAAATGTTATATTCATGTTTACTTGCTTATTTATTTATTAATATTTAATTTTTCTATTGTTATATTTCCTTTTTAACCCTTACTTTCTATGTAGTTGTAAGGAACATGCGTGAAACAATGATATATCAATTTGATAAATTATATTACTTTAACTTAATATGTTCTTATAAAAAAACTAAACAAAATATTAGAAAAATATTTTTGTATTTATCTTTGCAATTATATTATATTAAATTTCTCATGCATTTTGATAACAAATCCAGGAAAAAATAAACGTGATACAAAACTGTAAGATTATAAGAACTATATTGATCACACGAAATCTTCTGTAATTTAGTTAGGAAACTAAGGGAGCCTAAGATAAATTTGTTCATGTTGCTTCATTAAGTTAAGAAGGAATCAGAAGCAGAGACAACTTGAAGTGTATTCGATAGATTCTGTTGGTTCTTTTTGTCCTTTACTTTTTTCTCTACTCACTCAAATTCCTCGGATGTTAGAAATTTTTGGTGAGCCAAGTGAAACAGCAGATGAGATTCTTAAAACGACCCAAAGAGAATAAGGGAACATCACATATCATTTTGAAAATGCAACTGAAAGGAATTTGATAAACAACAATGAATGTTCATCCGGAAGACAAAGAAAAATGCATTATAACTGGAAGAGATTTTTTCTGAAACTAATGAAGTAGAAACTTAAGCATACATGAGATTTGAATACACAGAAGCATCGAGAATCCATATAACTTCACGTGCCTAATTTATAGTCATGGAAGACCAATTCTTCCTTTCTTCAATTTTCTCATCAGTCAAGCAGTATTCAATAAAAGAAATACAAGGTATAAGTTTACACCTTCTGATTTGAGCTTATTGAGTTAGACCATTGAAATCTGTACCCATTCAAAAAGAAATTTCATCGTTATTCATTGGAATTGTCCCATGTCATCATTTAAAGAGCCCAAGAGGGTTATTGATTATTGACCAATAAGTTTCTGCTTCTCATTCCCAGATAACATAATGGAGCAATGTTAAAAGAACTTGTGTTGGGAACTTCTATTTTCTAACTTGAGTTTAAGAAAAGCTTGTGTGATCTCTCTAATGTTTTTATTCTAATAATTACATGAAATTTCTTCAACTAAACTGTATAAAGGTTCTTCACCACGAAGAATGCCAATTCTTCTTTCTTCCATTTTCTCAGCAATAACAGATCATCCAATATGTGATTGCCATTGGCTGATACAATTCATTAAAAGAAATGAGATATAAGTTTATTTTTGGAGCCTATTAAGAATGGCTTTGAAATCTGGACTCATTCAAAAAATTTCTCATCATTTATTCACTGGAAATGTCCTATGTCGTCATTTAAAGAACCTAAGAAGGTTATTAATTAAGGCCTCATTTAGGAAGTTATATTTTTAGTGTCTTTTTAGTTAAAATATGAGGCGAAAAAAATCAAAATATGTTTAGGAAGGACTTTTTAACTTTTTACAAAAAAAATGTGCAATAAATAGAGTGAATAAAAATGAATATTTGACTATTTTGTGTGAGTTTCTTTTTTTATAATTATTATTATTTTTTTTAAACACTTATTGACCTTTGTAATGGCTTTTTGGAGGCCATTTCAACCTACTTTAGTTGTTTTATATTTCCACTGTCTTTGTGCAATGGTCTTAATTAGAATTAGTTTTTTAATTTTCTTTTAGGTGATGTTTTCTATGAAAAAAATGTTATATTCATGTTTACTTGCTTATTTATTTATTAATATTTAATTTTCCTATTATTATATTTCCTTTTTAACCCTTACTTTCTATGTAATTGTAAGGAACATGCGTGAAACAATAATGATATATCAATTTGATAAATTATATTACTTTAACTTAATATGTTCTTATAAAAAAACTAAACAAAATATTAGAAAAATATTTTTGTATTTATCTTTGCAACTATATTATGGATAATTTCTCATGCATTTTGATAACAAATCCAGGAAAAAATAAACGTGATACAAAACTGTAAGATTATAAGAACTATATTGATCACACGAAATCTTCTGTAATTTAGTTAGGAAACTAAGGGAGCCTAAGATAAATTTGTTCATGTTGCTTCATTAAGTTAAGAAGGAATCAGAAGCAGAGACAACTTGAAGTGTATTCGATAGATTCTGTCGGTTCTTTTTGTCTTTTTTTTTTTATTATTTATTTTTATTTATTTCTCTAGTCACTCAAATTCCTCCGACGTCAGGAATTTTTGGTGAGCCAAGTGAAACAGCAAATGAGATTCTTAAAACAATCCAAAGAGAATAAGGGAACATCACATATCATATTGAAAATGCAACTGAAAGGAATTTGATAAACAATAATGAATGTTCATCCGGAAGAGGTTCTCTATCCTATTGTTTTCTGAAACCAAATAATACAAGGGAAGCAAAATACTAAAGTACCCTGCCTGCAACCCAAAAAAACAAAAAAAAAAAAAATTGCATTATAACTAGAAGACATTTTTCTGAAACTAATGAAGAAGATAAGACTTGTTTTATGCATTCTAGTTTTACAATGCTAGTAAGTCATACTACTACTAAAGCGAACCGGGATCTGTAACTCATTCCAGATCTCTAATAGTTGGGTATTAAGCTTAATTATTTTGTTGTGGACAATATAAGACAATTCCAGTGAATATTTTTAATTTGTCCAAATTTCAATGGTCAATCTCAAGAAGCTCCAAAGAGAAAGTGAATTCTTATCTTGTATTTATTTATTATATATACATATTTTATGACTTTGTATCAACCAACAACATATTGGATGATCTATTTGATTATTGAGAAAGGAGGAAAAAAAAAAAAAAAAAAGGAAGAAAACTGGGCTTCCATTTCTATAAAGCACAGACAATGCTTCTATGTATTCAAATCTCATGTATGAGAGCTTCTAATAGCATGAGTTTTTTTAACGTCACAACTAATAGAGCTTGTTGTTGATGCCACTAAGATCATTTATTCTAACTATCATAATTTATTGAAAAAAAAAAAAATTATTCTAACTATCATAGTTCCTGCACTGGAACACATTTGAGGATTTTGTAGTTTGCACCACCACCTAAGAAGCATGGATATTTTTAAGAATGTGGTATGTTTGCGTTAGATATTAGCTCTCATCCAAACGTTTCATTTTTTTAGACCTAGATACGTTTTGGACACTACGAAGACATTTTCTAAATTAATCATATAGTAAAACAATTCTATGAGCATTATGAGCTATATTTTATGTTTTGACGTATCAAAACTTAACTTATCTTAGATTTTAATTTGTTATATTTTAATTTTTTTTCCTTCTTGAGGATACATTTTGTCACGCCCCAAAAATATACACAATAAAGATTCACCATCTTCCATTGTTTAATGTAAACGTAAGTAAATCACAATATTAACATCATCAGTAAATCTCCAACATTTGTAATTCATTAACCATCAAGAGATTTACAAAACAATGCCCCACATACGGTTATATATTCAACATTCCTAGAATATTAATTTATAGCATGTAACAAGGAAGTTTAGTATAAATTAATGCCCTCAATGGCTACAAATTCCAAGGTTTAAGCCCGATTACACAAAAGTGGTTTCAAACCCATACACATAAAGCCCTTAGCTTGTCAAAAATAATTACAATAAAAGGAAAGAGCCTTATGCTCTCAAAACATATCTCCACGCCTCTAACTTGGCAAGATCACCACATCCTTTCCTGTACAAAATCCCATAGGGGTGAGTACAAGGCCTAGTACGAAAATCTTAATAAAGCATATACATTTTATACAATCTTAGGGGATTAATGCATATGCCAAACCATGTTCAAAAACAAATATCTTTATCTTTTGAAACTTTTGTGCACAATGCAATCTTAAAAATTTAACAATTCAATAATTTCAATGTTTCAACGTGGCAGTAAATAAGACTTAGGTAATCTCTAGGTTGGTGTCTGCAAGTAGACATAACAAGCACTACCAAATCTGTAGCAAACCTAGTTTTGCCACATCACTGAGTATGTCGGGGATTGAGCTACCCGGTCAGCTCGCGGGGGTCTAGGGGGTAACGCCCTGGCGAGGATCGAGCTGCCCGGTCAGCTCGCGGGGATCTAGGGGGCAGCACCCCTTGGCGGGTCCTAGGGCAGTGCCCTGGCAGGGCTGAAAGGGTAACGCCCTCAAAACAAAAATGCAAAATGCATTAGAAGTTGCTTGTCCGCTCGAGTAGTCATTTATGCGCTCGAGCGGAGAATGTTTGGTTTCAAAAGTTTGACCGGTTTGCAAAAGTACTGGGAAAGTGTATTTGACGCTCAAGCAGGGCAATCTTAAAAATTTAACAATTCAATAATTTCAATGTTTCAACGTGGCAGTAAATACGACTCAGGTAATCTCTAGGTTGGTGTCTGCAAGTAGGCATAACAAGCACTATCAAATTTGTAGCAATCCTAGTTTTGCCACTTCGCTGAGTATGTCGGGGATTGAGCTACCCGGTCAGCTCGCGAGGGTCTAGGGGGTAGCGCCCTGGCGAGGATCGAGCTACCCGGTCAGCTCGCGGGGGTCCAGGGGGCAGCACCCCTTGGTGGGTCCTAGGGCAGTGCCCTGGTGGGGTTGAAAGGGTAGCGCCCCCAAAACAAAAATGCAAAATGCATTAGAAGTTGCTTGTCCGCTCGAGCAGTCATTTATGCGCTCGAGCGGAGAATGTTTGGTTTCAAAAGTTTGACCGGTTTGCAAAAGTACTGGGAAAGTGTATTTGACGCTCAAGCAGGGCTTTCCACGCTCGAGCGAACCATGTTTTATCAGTCGTGAATCTGATATTTCAGATCACTTTTGTATATCTCTCTCTCTCTAAAAACCCTTTCATCTCCATTCTCTCTACATTTTCCTATACCAAATTAGATCAAAATCTTGATTTCTCAATATCCATTAGAGTTCTTCCATAAGTTCTTCATCAAAGTTGGTAAACTTCTTGAGGGTTTCGTTGTGTGCCGTGAAAATCGAGTTTCGACATCGTTGATTTTGGGGGTTTCATCTCATTTCTTCTTTAAAACTTGAGGTAGAGATTTTCTTAGAGTTAGGTATATATATATATATTTGTAAGATCTAGATGATTTTCAAAATCATCCTTCGATAGATTTGAAAATTGATTGTTGATTCAAAAAATTGAGCGATTTTGAAAGTGGGTTTATCTCTTGTTTTTTTGAAATGATCTTATGGGTTTTGATCTTCGTTGATTCAAGAAAAGATGATTTTGGAAAGTTTTCTTTCAAAAGATTTGAGTTGTATAGTTTTGGTGAGAAAACCTAGAATTTGGGGACTTTTTTTTTAAAGAGACTGAAAATTCATGAATTATATTGTTATATTCATTTTGTGTGTCAAAATATATGAATGTTTAGAAAATTTCTTATTTACATTTATACAAATGATGAAATTTAGGGAATATGAGAATTGTTGTTCATTTTGAAAACTATTGTTTAAAACGTTGAAATAGTCTTGAAATGACTATTTATTGAGGATACTTGATAAGAGAAAATTGTGTTATTCCTTAGATGATGAATTGGAATAAAAGTATTTATATTCATCTTGTGTTATTGGCATATTACTTCATTTGATTATATTAAACTTTGAAAGTTGATTTGAAAACTTGCATTGAGAAAAGAATGTTGAGAAACAAGTTTCCATGAATTGGTTTTAGGGTAAATACGGTGGTAAGTCTTGGCAGGTAGTGTAGATGAAATTGAATAGGTGTCGAGCCTTCCAGTTAAGACTGGTAAAAATGACAGATTATAGGTGTTGAGCCTTACAGTCAATGCTGGTAAAAATGACAAATTGGTAGTACGTATAGTTTACTTGCAGACACCGACCTAGGGATTACCAGAGTCGTATTTACCGCCCTTGAAATAAATTGTTAAGTTTTGAACAATTGAAATTGCATGATATCATTGAGCATGATGGCTTTCAAAAGATGAAAATATGATTTATCTTCAAAAAGGGCATAGCATGGCATGTGCATTTCATCTCTTGAGACTTGTATAAAATGTATATACTTTGTTAAGAATTTCCTACTGGGCTTTATGCTCACCCTACGGGATTTTTGTTCAGGAAAAGATGTGGTGATGTCGCCTAACTAAAAGCGAGGAAATGTGTGTTGAGAGTACGAGACTCTCATTTTGCTGTGACTCTCTGCGTAAGCCAAGGGTTGTATGTGTGTGGGTTTGAATAACCGTTTTGTGTAACCACTCTTGAGACTTGTATAAAATGTATATACTTTGTTAAGAATTTCCTACTGGCTTTATGCTCACCTTACGGAATTTTTGTGCAGGAAAAGATGTGGTGATGTCGTCTAACTAAAAGCGAGGAAATGTGTGTTGAGAGTACGAGACTCTCATTTTGCTGTGACTCTCTGCGTAAGCCAAGGGTTGTATGTGTGTGGGTTTGAATAACCGTTTTGTGTAACCAAGCTCAAGCCTTGGAAACTTGTAAACCCTTGGGGGTATTTATTTGTTTGTTTATTTGTTGTTGGATTAATGTAATGTTGCATGAAGAACTATTGTATCATGTAATGTAAGTTTGGAGATTTATATTCGGTTTTTCTTAAAAGAACCATAATTGTTGTATTATCATTTGGGTTAGAAATTTGGGGCGTTTCAAAATCCCCACTTTACTGGTAACTAATCGGAAGGCACGTGGTACTCCCTCCGCACATGTTTTTTGGTCTTTCGCCATGGACCCTTAGGCCAACTTAACCAATACCAACCACACCACTAATTGGACTTACCAATGTATTTACCCCCAAAACAAATCAGTATGATCTTGTTTCACAAAACAATATCCTTTTTCCAATGCAATAATTAAAATCAATCGCATCAATGCTAAAATGAAATGGCAATGCAAAAACGTCCAATGCATTAACATAATCCATTTTCAATTTCTCTCATACAATTCTTCATTTGTGATCACTTTCCACATCTCTTATCAATGCATTGTCATAATACATTACAAGAGATAAAATAATACTACATAAACCTTCAAGCATTTTTCATACATTAATCATCATAATATAATTTTAAAGGATTATATAAAAACCTCAACATTCATGTATTCTCCACATATAAATCTCTATTTTTCCATTAGGTCATTTCAAGACCAACCAATAATAAGCTATACAACAAGCTTCAATTTAACCATTTCTCATTTTCTTTCCATGGAATTTCCTCTTTATACACAATCATAAGATTATCTCAACCACATATTTACTATAATGCTACACAACCATAAATTTCATAACATTTTATCATTTTCGCAAAACAAGCCCCTAATTTATAGGGTTTCCACAAACTAGGTTTTTCCTCATTTTTGAAAGGATTTTTCCAAGACAATATCTCTTCTTGACAATATAGTTCATACCCTCAAGAGTTTTTAGAAAACAATGAGAAAACCTCCTTTTAAAATTATCCAAAAATAAAAAATAAAAATTCATGAGCCAAAATCAAAATTCAATACTACTCGAGGGAATTCCAAAATCAACATAAACTTGTAAATATATATATATATATATATATGTAACTATAGACGTCCCCGAACGTCCCGGGAGGGAATCCCGTTTTGTTCATTTGGGCTTACTACAGTTCGGACTCAAATTGTCACGGTTCTTAATTTGATCTCATAATGTGCGATGTGAGATTGATAAATCACCAAAGAGTCCAAATCCGGCAAATCATTTTGAAAAACTGATTTTTAGAAAGAAGTGCCAAACATGGATTGCTTTGCCAGATACAGAATCGCCACCTAAATATTTTATTTTGGGGGAATTTAGGAAACCCTGACTCGTGCCTAAGGCCACGTGTCCTTCATCACCAAAGTTGCCTCGGCTCGGGAACTTGGGTACGATTGGGGAAGGTCACTTCGTGAGCAACCCCGCTCGCCCGATCAAAGATCGGCCTCTACTAACCATGATATCAAGTTTTTGAAAACACATGTGCTCTTATTCCGATTTATTAGCCTAGAATTACTATGTGATGCGCACAGCAAAACAAGTATAGACTGGATTGCCTAAGTTGGAACAAAACATCGTATATCCGTTTGTTTTGAAAAATGAATTGAAGTTTGCTACTCGCAAGTAGGCTAAAATACGGGTTTCCACGAATTATTCCAACTCAAGCAACCCAACCTTCACCCACAGGCATTCAGGCAGTTATATCACATAAGCACATAGTCTCATGGTAAGCATGCTATCATGGCAGTCACTTACACACATGCAAGGATGCTAAAGCATAAAAGCTTACCTAGTACTCCAAGCCAAAACAGAAACTAATTAGTAATCAAATGCATGATCCTAGTTCATGTTAAGATGGCTAATGCAATACATGTAAAATGAAACTAGAAATAGGCTTGGCTATTTTAAGATGTCATGTGAAATGCAACTTGATACATGTATTCAAATTGGAATTGAAATACAATGCAGTTAGCATGATGCGCCGAGCCCAGTGCATGCAGGACAGATGAATGGATGCAAACATGCGAACATAAGTATGCTAATTGAAACGTGCCCTAAAACTAACCATTGTAAGCGGTTAAATAAAAGGGAGAAAGACGTGGGGTTGGAAGACATGCATCACACACACGCACGCTTATTACACAATTTGCCCTCTCTCGGAGGGACCGAAAGAATAATACAAATTAATCAACTAACAAGCTAATTAATTAATTACAAAACCACCTAACT